AGGAGCCACGTTGCCTGTGACATCTGTCTGCGCCGTGCCATTCGATGCAGCAACTGTGACTGCGAAAACTGGATGCGGTGCTTCCACAGTCCACACCCGAACCGGTCCTGTCTGGTCTGTAGGGATGGTCACTTACCATAGGCAATAACTGCTCCTTGACTCAAAATCTTGTGCAACCCAAACACCAATGAACCTCATGTGCTATTCCAGCGGTGAGTGTTTAGAATTCTGCGAAGCCCATCATATACCTCTCGCCTGCCCTACCCTTGCACTCTGCTTTCCCCCTACCTCACGTCCTGACAAACTTACCTCCTGTCCCTTTCCCTCCGCCCTCTCCTTATGTGCAACTAGGAAATACATACGAATGAGCATCAGTAAGAGTACAGACAAATTATAAGTTGAAGATTTGAAGAGAAATGAACAGGAGTATGAAGACGAACGACAGACACAAAGACTAAGCATATGCTGAAGACCTGAAGTGAAATGAACAGCTGTAGATCTGAAGGGAAATGAACAGCTGGAGATCTGAAGTGAAATGAACAGTAGTATGAAGATCTGAACTGAAGTGCACAGGAGCATACCTTCCCCTTTACTCTGCCTCCTATTATAACGTGCAAGTGGGCCGTTAAGGCACACGGGGATGTGGGCAGCTGCCGCTCAACCACCATCAACGTGGGCAGCCTTGTACGTGCGAGGCAAAGTGAAAGAGRAGCTGTTGCCCCAAAGAAACCCTAGCTAAACACGGTTCAAAATGGTTCTATTATGATTCGTGCTGCCTGTTTGGGCGGACTCAGTCTGGTTCTACTTATCTGGTTGGAATAGGGGTTGTTGTGGGGGAAGCTTATAGCACACACACAAGCATGCTATTATTGTCATCTTTTTTTATTCTTTCACATAGTGGTCACAGACATTCCAGTCCAACGAAACGTTCCGTTACAACGCCTGTGTTCTCTATGTGCCGTATCTTTATGTGTTGTCTGCTTCTATTCTGTGTGTCTGGATATGTGTGATGGGCGACATCCAACAGCATCTTCTCTCCATCATTTGAATCTGAGCCAAACAAAAGGGGCGTTTAACGATTACACCCGGTGATTGATGTACGAACAATCGAAGTGGGCAACTCTGCTGGCAGGCCTGTGGGCCGTAATGTGGTTTTGAGGGCAGCCATAAGGTGACCTATTGTGTGGATTGGCTATGGCGCAGGGACAGGCACATACACTCCCCTATTCAAGGGAAGATGGTAGTCGACCTTCGCCACACACCATAACCAGAGAACAAACATGTTTCTGTGCTACCCAAATTCTCTAAGACCATCAAGCTATTTACTTCTCGTCTACTCACTTGTTGAGATGCTGGGTTGCACGTGCCAATTGTCTTCTAGCTCGAAACATGTAGTACGCTACTATGCTGCAGCCTTTCCCTAACACACTGCACTCTCATTATGGCCGTAACGGACCGGAAAGATAGCTTTTATGCATTTGATATCAGGGTGCGTCATGTTCGGGGGCAGACGGTAGTCTATAGGAGTTTAGTAGACAATCTCTGGTTGATCTTCAGGTTGCAGTTCACTTTTCTCTGCTGCTCGAGTCTGTAACACTCTTGACTCTCTCACATTTGGTCTGCAATACTCCGTTCTACTGTGAGAGAGAGGTCGCAGTTGATTTTGGTCGCAGTTGACTTTGCTCCGCTGTTTTAGTCAGTGATAGTCTGACAGGTGGGATTTCTTCTGCTGTACTGCGGTATACTTCGCTGTACTGTTTGAGAGCTTTGCGTCTCTCGTACTCGTGGTTTTTTTTTTTTTTTTTTTTTTTTTTTTTTTTTTTTTTTTTTTTTTTTTTTTTTCCCTACCGGAAACAAAGCTCCGTTCTATACGCGGGGAGCGGCACCTGCTGGGAAACAGGCCCAGCGTCCCTTCAGCGCAAAGGACTCTTGAATCTTGATGCTTTCCTGTGTTGCGGCCCGGGAACCCCTGGCAGCATTGATTACTTCCGTCGGAAGGGATTAACTGCCAGCTAAGCCCATCCAATAATTAAGGTGAAGTCCCCTCCCTCCCCAGGTGGTACCCGTAACAAACACACCAAAAGACCCGCCCTTGCGTAATCCCTCCGATGCTCTCCTGGTCGGCGTTGACTATGTTACTGCGCCTGCATCCACTTCGAGATGCATCGGGGGCCCCTACGTTATGCTGAAGAAAGTTAAATCTGGTCTTTGTTGTTCGGTTCAACGCTGCTATTGATTGCCATTCTATCTTCAGATTTCGCCCCCCCACATCTTCCGTCTTCTCCTGAACAGAAAGTACGGTTATTATTGCTGTATCTAGACTGAAAGCTGCCCCAGATACCGCTATAGTGACCGTACATTCTATTCGAGGGAAAATCGTAGAGTGCATTGGTGCTCTGTGGGTCATCGTTTTTGCAAATTCCTGTCGCTGTCTGCATCTGCATTTTATTCACCAACCTCCAACGTGGTATCCCTTCCATTACAAGGGGGAAAAACTTCAAAGGGTGACGAAAAGGACAAGCTAAGGGAAAGGAAAACAGAACAAAAGCAAGAACAAAGGCAAAGAGAGCAAGTCGAGGGCACGTACGGCTCAAGTTTTCATCAAGAGTGAATCGCTCTCTGCTCCAGTCGCATGATGCACCAAGTCGTCGCATCTGGTTTGTTATCGTTCCTCCGTACCTAAGAGTTTTTTTTTTTCCGCCCAAGAGAAAAAGACGAAAAGAAAATCCAGCAATGTTACATTGCAACATATTCACATATTCATAATTCCAGCAATGTTACATTGCAAAAAGAGCCCTTGCACGGCCGGGCCGTCCGGGAAAATAGGGTGACCCGGCAGGCCTTTTTTTTTTTTTTTTTTTAATGCATGCTGCCTTCTCCTCATATGGGGGACATACTATGCCATGTTCTTCTCTCGATATTTTTCCATCTCACACTACCTACCTCTGGCTGTGTACGGACCTGCAAGGGGCATGGCGACCCAACCAGCAAGGAACCAAGCTCCATTTTTTTTTTTTTTTTTTTTTTTTTTTTTTTTTTTAAGCCCTTGCGATATCCCTCTAACCCAGCGGTGGTAAGAGAACCATCAGAATTGAGGACTTATCTGTCGGGCTGCTCTGTCCATTGGTGGGGAGCGGCACCTGCTGGAAACCGGGTCCAGCGTCCCATTGATACATCAGGTAGGACAGAGATTGGTGTTTCAAAAGCCAATTACAGGGTTTAGGGTCAAAGACTACACAGTGGTGCACACTATCTATCTATAGCAAAGGAAGCCTAAATTGACTATCCAGCACTAAGATATCCTAAGGTTATGGGTCTACACCTACTTATCTCTGCTCTGTGCGGGGAGCAGTACCCAGGCTCCTAACACCCGACGCGGGCTGGAAAGAACCAAGTACTTCCACAACCAGCCAGGTGGTGGCCCAAGCCAACAGTCTCTCGTGGTGAACCCGAAGCATACCCCCAGGAGATCGCGGGGATCGAAAGGATGACGGTGGGTATTGAACCCACGACCTCCTGAGTGCCACTTTCATGACATTTTTAATTTCCAACAAGCTTCGAAAAAAATGAATTGTTTTTTGTTTTTCTTCTTCTTCTTCTTCTTCTGCTGCTGCTTCTGCTTTTTCTGCTTTTGCTGTTCACAATTTTTGCCAGGTTCTTTTCCATCAAAAGCCCTATTAGTCTATGGCTACAGCTACATAGCGCCCTGCATAGGTAAAAGAAATCAGGACCAAAAAAAAAAAAGGGTAGCATACAAGCATTATGACTACAGAATCATCCTTTGTACTCCAATGGTGGGCACCATCCTTGGTCCATCGCACTCTGTTTTTCATGCATTCCTCTTTCCTTTCCTCTGTTTTTTCTCTTTTTCTCCCACAAACAGGAACGGAGGGAGTTGCTTTGTTAACTACTATACTAACAGAAAGGTACTAACACCCCCCTCTCGGCACCCTCGGGGGTGTAAGAAGGGACGGGGTTACTCCCCCAACCACAGAAACACAGTCTTGGTCTCTATGGAGGGCACACTCGATGAGGTCAACAGGAGGATTGCATGATGAACAATCTCATGGGAGAGATGCAATGGGGGGCCACATTAAAGCACACACACATCGGCCAGAACAGAGAGCGGGCTTGAGGAAGCACAACACATTTTTGAAGCAAAATCAGCACATAGAAAAGACAGGGAAGGAAGAATGACGAACACCGATCAGGAGACATATGGCACAGAGAGAGGTTGGGCAAATACTTCTTTGGAGGTAGCAGTTCTGAAAGAGTTTTGAACCCTCACCTTTTTTTCTGTGTGCTTGTGAGTCATGAAGGATCACATTGACTTCATTTGATTACCTAAGAGAAAGAAAAAAAGGAGAGAAAGCAGGAAAGCAGAAAGAAAGGAAAAACAGAAACGAAGGAAGAAAGAGAGAAACTCGAAGAAAGAGCAGACAAAAACAGACGTCTTCTCCTCATATACGGGGGACAAGCTGTACTTTACTACCCTATTTTCTTCTTTCAATATTGTGTCCACCTGATTAGCTACCTACCTACCCTACAGTATCCCCTCATGTATCTAGTATATGGGGACTTACCTTGTCTTTGTACTAGTCCGACCTATTTTCTTCTCTCATTATTGTGTCCACCTCAAATTAGTTAATTACCTACCAAGCTACCCTACAGTATCCACTCACATATCTAGTATGGGGGCTTACCTTGTCTTTGTACTAGTCCGACCACAAGCCCGTTTGTAATCAAGAGCCACCACTACCTTAATCTAATGACTGAAAGTAAGCTATTCTAAGGGTTATGGGTTGCACACTATTGACCTACGGGACGCTTTCCTCCCCGACGTATCCAGCCTACCTATCCCCTCGGGGTTGAGCTTTCCCGGCTGAGCCTATCCCCTCAGGGTTCAATCTAACCCCTAGCACGGGTGGGGGCAAAACATTTCCCTACCAAGTCCTACTAGTGGGGGCGAACCGTCTATCTGTGGTGATGAGCCCGAAGTGTGCAGCACAGGGACGTGGGAAAAAAAAAAAAAAAAAAAAGCTAAAAAACACAGAAAGACAAGAGTGCAATAACTCAGCTCAAATATGCATCAGCCGTGGGCTGTGGGTCGTCACTTTTGGTTAAAGGCCCGAAACGGGGGTCAAAAGTCACGCCCATGTCGTGAGAATGCTTGAACGAAGGCCTATCGCTAAGGGGTACCCAAGGCCAGGCCAAAACAGGCCTTCAGAGGCCCAACGCGACACAGCTGACCTTGGGAAAGTCAACATTCAGCCTCAGCTAGGAAGTACAGGCCCACGAGTCAAAGTCAACCCGATTCCAGCCTCGGCCGTACATTAGATTCACACCTCTGATTGTCTGCAGGTATCCGGAAGGAATCAAGTCCAAGTGGGGCACGCTGCAAACGGCAACTATATGGAATCCACGTCATTGATGAACGATCTGGGCCATCGTATCTGAGAGACCAGAGGTTGGTCAACGCTCGTCAACACTAAAAGTTTGGCCCAGCCCCTGCTTGCGACATTGAGTCTTCTGCATGTTGCTGGATGCTTTATGCTGGCGCAATTCTCCGTTTGCGGTGCCAGCCACGAGGGTGATTATGCTGACGTGGCTTTTGCCACACTGATCTCGACATCGATAGTGTATGGGCGAGGAGGAGGAGGATCAGGGATGTGAGATTGGTTTGATTGTGGAGGGGAAGCTTACCTGATTGCGACCGTGTCGACATTGCGCATTGTTGTACGTCTTCAGAGATCTGCGCCATCCTCCCAGGCCGCTGCTGACGTGGCTGGAGGATGGGCGCCCCACTGTAACCTGCTTGCTGTCAAAGTTCGTCAGAGAGATATTGTTGCTAACATGTCGAGTGGGGAGGATGCCCGAAGAGGAAGTGGGCTTGCCAGGGAGCTCCGTTCAACGATGATGAAGGAAACTCTCTCTTCCACCCCTAAGTATATCCTCCCTCTCTCCTCATCTTCTTCTCTGAGTACAAGATAATGAGAAACATGGTCGACAAGTATGGTTTCATGAACGATTTTTGAAGATGTTGATTCTGCGCTGTGACATCTTTGTATTTCGACATTGACAAGCTTCTCGTGTGACTGGGTTCACTACAAGAGAACAGAAGAAACACAAGAAAAGAAAAGAGAAGAAAGAGAGGAGGAAGGAAAGGAGAGAAGGAAGGAAAGGAGGGAAGGATGGCAGGAAGAAGGGAGGTAGGGAAGGACGGTGTCGACCGGCATGGCTCCCTTTGAGTAGGGAGTGCGCTCGACAACGGACAGAGGGAGGGAGGGAGGAGGGAAGGAAGAAAGGAAGGAAGAAATCTGGGTCGGCAGGTGGTCTCACAAGACGAGTATCTCTCAGAAGTTAGGATTGTGAAGAGTCCGAACAAAAAACAGAGACAATTCACATTCTGTACGATGATATCAAATCAACACTGACCATTTACAGTTACACGGATGCGAGTGCACACAAGCGAAGGAACAAGCTAATGGGAGTGTAGGTGAGTATTACGCTTCTTCGTTCTTGAGTTTAGCTACATCAGGCTACATAGGGGTAGAGTGTAAGATCATCAGAGAAATCTAGGGCTTGAAGCATCCAGTAGACATCGACCTTTTTCTTTCAGTTTGGGGAGGGAGGGGGGTGGATCTAGTAACATTGAGCTTTTTTATTCAGTTTGGGAACTTTGTGGGGAGGGAGGGGGCCAGTATTTTATATTTGAACGGGCCCACTGCCCAAGGCAAGTAACTTGGACATGAATTGTGTCTGACTCTGGGGCTGTGAGGTTGCGGCACCCTTTCTCCAGTGCAGAGGCTCGCCCCATGCCAACAAAGATTCTGGACATAACTTTTTTTTTTTTTTTTTTTTAATATGGACCATTTCTCGATTTATGTGTGTCACCCTTGAGCAGGGGCCATGCTAACCTTCTTTCTCTGTATCGTTCCAGTTTTAATGGATGTCCATTTCTCGATTTATGTGTGTCATCCTTGCACAGGGGCCATGCTAATCTTCTTTCTCTGTATCGTTCCAATTTTAACAGACGTCCTGAAGGACTTCTGCAGATACTTTTACCACAAAAAGAATAACCATTTCATGTATCACAATTTTGTTTTGTTTCATAATTTTATTCTGCTTTTTTTTTTTTCTTTTTTTTTTTCTTGCAAACACGGACTCATTCATTTCCTAGGGCTAGCTAGGTCCCACTTACACAGCCTCTTGGCATCTGACCGTTGCTTTTCGTAGTCTACGGTCAGATATGAGGAAAAGGTCCCTCCGTAATTCTTTAGAGGCAGAGCGGAGTATAGAGTGTCCTCACATTCAGACAGGCGCCCAGTCCACCTTAGTGGTTAGTTAACTCATCTGTCCGTTGGTACGTCAAGATCTGTGCCTGGGTTCAAACCCCAGGTCCAACAAACCAGACCTAAGAGCTCTGTGTGCTTGTGCAGGGCTGTGTGGGTGGCGGTTCCAAACGCACAACCTTTCCTCTCTTTCCTCCCATGCCCTTCATTTTTCAGGGAAAGAAATGAAACATGCTCCCTGGCACCATTTCTTATCCCCCCCCCCCCCCCCCCCCCCCCCCCCCCCCCCCCCTCCGGCAGAAAGGGGATAAAGTTCCACTAAACACAATGCGGCAGACAAATTTCTTCTCCTTTAGTGCCCACATACACGCACCTCTTTTTCATTAAGAAAAAAATGCAATGCGGTGCGCGGGGTTTACCCTTCTTGCCCCTCAAATACCTTTTGAAAGAGCACACACAAGAAAGCGGCGAAAAACGCATTCCCTTTTCCGGCCGTTGACCTCATATTTTCACTTTTCTCTTCCCATTTTCAACGCGCCCCGCACTTATGCAAAAGCATCACAGAGCTTGCTTGTGCCAACGGAGAAGGCACGACAGAAAGACACACCAAGTCGGTCACAAACTGTGATGGCCAGATCCTTGCCATATGATCGACTGATCGCACCGGGTCCACAGCCGTCCAGACCAGCGTCTTTTGGTGCGTTGTGAGACACTCCGATGCCTTAAAATGAGAGAGAGAGAGAGAGAGAGAGAGAGAGAGAGAGAGAGAGAGAGAGAGAGAGAGAGAGAGAGAGAGAGAGAGAGAGAGAGAGAATAAGCAGATGGAAGGGGAGAAGGATAAGGCTGGAGGGGAGAGAGGAGAGTGCACAAGTTCAGGAGGAATGGATAGGAGGAGGGAGGACGGTTGAGGAAATGGAAACTTAATCAGGCTCTAATGAAGTCAGAATGTTGAAGCACCCAAGTCGCGAGAGGGAAAGGAAGGGACAGCAGAATTCGAGAACGACCAGAACTCACAAGAGCGCACTCAGACTACAACAGGTAGACCAAAGAAGGGCTGCTGGCTGACAACAGAGCGGCTGCTAGCCTGCTACATCCCAGTTTCCAACTTTCCACAGTGCATACTTTTGATGAAGGTGTGGTCACTGTGGTATTTATAAGAACAAGATTCATTCAAAGAATCAACGAGCACGATAGAAGAGGGGGGAGGGAGGGAAATTGGGATCATAATTCAATCATTCAATAATATGATTAATAATAAATTAATAATAATTAATGTATAGTTGACAATTTGGATCCTAAAAATCTTCAAAAAATATCCAGTCCTCTCCAAGGAAGGCCTTGTGCTCACTCAGAAGGGCCCCACGCACTCGACTCTTGACCATGAAGCCCTACTATATAGGGCGACTCTGGTTTTGAGGGCTCCTCGCCTCATCCTTCCATGACACAGTCACTCGACAAGCTAGTTGGGGAAAAAAAAGAAAAACAACCATGCATCCACAAGATAGTTTGTCTAATGTTGTAGTTTTTTTTAAAAAAAAGGGAAAGGTTAGAAAAATTGGACCAAGAAAAAAGATCTGAAGATTCTGAACTCTGTAAGCAACAGTGCAATTTACAAATGCACGATGTAAACTTTCTGTCTACCGACGACTCATAGGTCTACCGACAACTCATAGGCTGAAAGTTTGCTACCTTGTTTTGTGCTTTCTTTTTTTTTGTTTTGATCTCCAAGACTCCAACCATGATGGTCTGTACCAACTCTCTTGCTACCATTAGTCTCTATCGGCTGGCTTCTTGTTGCTGTCTTCAGAGCCTCGTCCTCTCTCTCCCCCCCCTCCACCCCCGCTGCCTTCTCCTCCCTGACTCCCCTTTCTCTGTCTTCGACTTCTGCTACTCATCTGGGACAGAGAGATAAGTAAGACCAACGGTTCCGACATGCCATCTCCTATTTCTGTAAGTTCCTGAACAAAAGTAATGTCCTCTCTTTTTTTTTTTTTTTTTTTTTTTTTTTTTTTTTTGTTTGTTTGTTTGTTTAAACAGGTCCTTATGGCCCTGGCTCCAAAACAAGAACAGAGAAAAACAGTGACTGCCTTGAGGTATCATCATCCAACAGAACGGCCTTAGGCAATTCAGCGGTATAATTTGACTCATTTGCATCCATCAGGATTCGGACTGAGGTCTGTTTTATCGACAGCTCCTGGGTGTACCATTCAGCCGCATGGGCTGGGTTCAGTGTATTGTCCTTGCAAGGTGATAGTCCTTCTTTACGGTGAAAGTGGTGGAAGCGCTAAAACTTAAAACTAGATTTTTTCGGCTTGGCTTCCTTGCTGCAACCTTCAGATTTTGAAACACTGCATTCGGAAATGCAGCTTTTTGACCTATGACCTAGGCTACCAGAGTGGCCCCGGACCACTTGCCCGGCCAGGCCAAAAAAAATTAAAATTTAAAAATAAAAAAGATATTTTTTTAACTTTATTTTTTGTTCTTTATTTGGTAAAGAATTTCGATGTGGCCCTGGGGCAGAAGTTGTTCGCTTTATTAAAGTTTATTTTTCTACATGATGATCTTATACAGAGTTCCATGATTTACGGCTCCAGGGCCTTCGGCCTCCAGGGATCCTTCAATATACCATTGCGCACCATGAAAGGTACCCATTATAACATTCAGGGCCGTGTGAGCACTACGTCCCGGTCTGAAGCCATGTGAATAAGTGGAAAAGCGGGGTTCATAAATAGGTTCTAAGATCATTCTAAGAACTTGAATCTGTGGCAAAGCTATGAACAGATGCAAGTGTACGCCGGGGATAACAGGCTGATGACTCCCAAGAGCTCATATCGATGGAGTCGTTTGGCACCTCATCATCTTGGGGTACTTACACAGTAATGTGTACGCGCGAAGCTGGATATATGCTGGGAACTCCGCCGAGTATCCGACCAAATGACAAATGTGTCGGTGCGGACAATCAGCAGGGAAGTCATGTGTTGATACATGCGCTGCGCCCCTCAACGACTACACGCCAGACATCCCTGCACCTTGGCCTGGATTCCATTCAATATTATGAATCAAAGTACCCACTGGTATATATGCTAATTGTACACAATTTCCCAAAGCTTGCTCCAGGTTCCCAAAGCTATGCACATTATTCATGACTGGGCTACCTGTTTTTAATTTATCACAAGCTAATATATAAGTAAATCTTGTAGATGCTGTTTGATGTTGGGTTGGGTAGATCCAGAGTACCAGCGTACTAGGGCAATCCAAGAGGAACGATTTGGATCATATTCGATTCTTTCTACCTTACCCGTCAACGAAGTGTTACGTTGAAAGTCAATTCTTCGCTGCAATCGTTTTGCGTGGGAGCCTCTATGGAAAAGGGTGATACGACCTGTGGAATTTCGTCCAGCAGACGCCTTTTTGAAACTAAAAGTTAATTGTTTGAGTGGTTTTCCTTTCCAGCAACTGTTTTTCATACAGCTTCGCTCCCGAATGATTTTTGTGTTTTTTTGCTTTGCTTTTCCAAACGTGTTTCATAAGACAAAGTTACCTTCAATTGAAGGCCAAATAACTCATGGAGTTTCATGCTGACATATTAAGATTCTACACTCAGAGAATACTCGAAATCCTGAATTACTACTCTTTCGTGGACAATCGATCATCATTATGGTCGATAGTTCACTTAATGAAGGAATCTTGTGCATTGACCTTAGCGCTTAAATATCGCACTAAGTTCAAAAGAAGCACGCTGAAGAAATTTGGTCCACAGTTTCAATGTGCTGAGAATTACAAGCGATTAAAAAGTTATCTATTTTTTATGGTAATCTGCCTGTTCAAAAAGTAGCAAAAAAAACGTATACTTATTTAGACAAACAAAAGAGTTTGTTATTATTAATGGAGAAAAGATTGACATTCTTCTTGTACGTATGAATTTTTGCTCTACTATTTTTACAGCAAGACAGCTTATAGAAACACGAAGGCACACTCCCTGCTTTTGAGGACATTGATTTAAAGCTCGAGTACGTTGCGTACGTCGTTTTGATTCTCTACCATGACGAATTAATTGATTCATTGTAGGCATATGTGTGGTTTTGTTTTTTGTTAATTAAATTAATGCAACTTAACTTGTTTTCAGGTTATCATTTTTTTATTTTAAATGATTTTTTCGATTTTGTTTTTATTTATTTTTTTGGCTGGGAACTATTTTGGCCCTTGCATGGCCGGGCCGCCCAGGCAAACAGGGTCACCCGGGCGGCCCGGCTGGTTGCCTAGCCTATGACCCCATTTTCCAACTGTGGTGTTCCAAAACAGACAAAAAAACAAACAAACAAACAAACAAACAGACAAACAAAACAAACAAACAAACAAACAAACAAACAAACAAACAAACAAACAGACAGACAGACAGACAGACAGACAGACAGACAAAACCAACAAAACCAACAAAACAAACAAACAAACAAACAAACAAAAACATCTATCAAGTGCAACTATGTGTAGGATACTTCTTTGTATTCTTGGATTATTGTTATGTTCCCTCCTCCCGCCCGTGCGAAGTGCAATAAGCTGCGTTGGAATGTTTGGCAAACTCACTTCTCTTTCCATTCCCAGACTTTCTTCTCAAAGTCTTCTCGCTGAAGATCTGTGCGTTTGATGCCTTGAGTTGCAAGCATCTTCTCAACCACCAGCTGCATTCACATATCCCACATGTTTCACCCGTATGTTACCCATACCAAGCATTAAACACACAAACTCAAAACCTCCTATCACCACTCCCTCCCTCCCTTCCTCCCTCCTTTCCATCGCCCAGTAAACGAAAAGGAAATCCATTCAAATAGCCTCCATAAAAGTTACACCAGTGATGAATAGGTAACAGACTAACAGTTCATATATAACCGCCATAGGTACCACCGTACCAGTCTATATATTACCGTAAGTACCAGTCCATATGTTACCACAGGTACCAGTGCACATACATTACAATAAGTTACTGTAAGTAATCAGCCCCATAAGTTACCATAGGTACCAGTCTGTCTGTTACCATAGGTACCACCGTAACAGTTGATATTTTTTACCGGAAGTACTAAACCATATAGTGCATATGTTTATGTAACTATACCTATCCAGTCCATCAGTCACCGTAGGTACCGGCCCATATGTTACCGTAGGTAGCATTGCAATATGTTACCATAAGTACCAGGCCGTATAGTTACCGTCCGTAAGTTCGAGTCCATCTGTTAAACCACCCGTACACCCAGGCCTGCAGGTGCCTTACTGTGCGCCAAGCTTTTCCGAACCGCCAGCAGTAAACATTTTTATTATTTTGACTGGTGCCACCAGCCATTGTGGTCCAGTAGGCCGAGCCTCCAAATTTTTTGTAGGTGACGAGTTTCTTTTTCAGCAAGGCTGGGCCCACTTTTTTACTTTTTTACTGGCAGTTTAACATAGGTAGCAGTGCACATGCTACTGTAGGTATTTTCGTCCATATGGGCTACCAGCGCATGCGTCAATATTTCAGCATACCAAGCCTTAAGGAGAAGAACCTGGACTCTTTCCTGCACCCCACCCCACCCAAAAACGAAAAGGCAGTAGAGTAACCATCCATGCCACCCTACCCAAAAACGAAAAGCGGGTAAAACAACCCTCCATGCAGTGTCTGAACAGGTTTCGAACTCCTGCAGCACAGATTGTTTGCAAGGTACATGTGCTTGTCCATACCTTTTTTTTTTTTTTTTTTTTTTTTTTTTTTTTTTTTTTTTTT